TTTCCAATATTTAGCTATTATAAACTGTGCCACTATAAACATGGGCATGCATATATCGCTGTGGTAAGATGCTTTTAATCCTTTTTTTTTTGGTACTGGGGATTGAACTCAGGTCCTTGCACTTGCACAGCAGGTGGCAAAACCACTGAGCTAAATCCCCAGCCCTAGATGCTTTTAATTCTTTTGGGAAGATACCAAGAAGGGGAATAGCTGGGTCAAATGGAACCTCAGAGCTAGCTTTGAATAAATCCTTTTTCCTTTTACCCAAATATATGGCCTCCTTTGATTTGGTCAGTGGTGAGCAGATGAACCTGAGCATATGAACCTAAGAGGCCGACCACACTTATCTAGCATGTGTAAGGGCCTGGGTTTGAGGTAGGATAGAAGAAATAAAAGGTAGAAAGGAGACAAAGAAATCATAACAAAAACTGCACTTTTAAGAAGACTCCAACTTCAAGGACTCTGCTGAAGTTTCCCGAGATGACCTATCACTGAAAGGCTCTAAAATGACTCGATTAAGAAAGTAAAGAACAGCCGGCAATTTAGCTCAGTGATTCCACTGCCTGCCTCACAAGCGCAAGATCCTGAGTTTGATCCCTGGTACCGGAAACAAAAAAAAAAAAAAAAAAAGAAAGGAAAGTGAAGAACAGAAGCCCTGTTCCAGAATTGTGGAAAGAAATACACAAAGACATAGAATTCGGGTGAAATAATAAAAGTTTACTTGCAAGCAGGCAGGACCACCAGAAACTCGTCTGGTCAGAGTCCGCGCCATCCTTTGTTTTAACATTTCCTTTTATATCTTCTTTTAGCCATTACCTCATTCCTGGTGGTCTTAGTCAGTAAAATTTCTGTTTCTCTTTTACAACTAGTTCCTGTTAATGGTTATAGTCCAGACATATAACAAACAGATGGCAATTAAAACACATACATTGTAAGCTACCCAAACATTTCCACTTTGTTTTTCTCCAGGTTAAATGTTATCTACAGCTAGGTTACAGGTCAAAGGGTCAGTTAGCCATCACCTTACACAACAAGAGTTATGGGAAAGGTAAATCTTAAAGGAATGCATTACTTATTCTACTTCAGTTACCTTAATAACTAACCAATAGTTTAAATTTTCTCTATCAGCCCGAGAAGACAGACAACTCATGGCAACCTTCCTTTGGTTAGATTTATACTCTTTCCCTACCAGACCTATTACTAAAAGGCCATAAATTGGCCCAGTTAAGAAAGTAAACAGCTGGTTCAGGGGATTCAGAGAATGTTTAAATCATCTACTCAAAAACAAAAAACAAAAACAAAAACAAAAACCCAGGGCTGAGGATGTAGCTCAGTGGTGCCACGCCTGCCTTGCAAGCACAAGATCTTGAGTTCAACCAAAAAACAAAAACAAAACCTGCCCGTGCCTGTGGAAGTTGGGAGTATGTGTGGCCACTTTTTCCCAGGCTTTTCACCCCTCTCAAAAAGAGTATGTGTTTGCAATTCCAAACTGTAATGGGTCTAATTTCTCTAAGCACACTCCTCTTTGGAGTGCATCCTATAATTCTACCTCTGTCTAATAAACCCTTCTTGGGCCTCTTTCTGACCTGTCCTGAAAGTTCTGTGATGGGAGTTAGTGAATCTGCCATAAAAAGGGTGGGTTAAATTCTTCATTTTAGCTTCGGGAATTTCTCAGTCCCAGCCCAAAGACTCCACACACACACCACCAACAACACCCACCCTCAAAATGTTTAACCCTATGTGAGAAGTGAATTTACTTGTCCAGACCCAAAAACATTAGACTCAAGAGGCAGCAAAAGCAAGGCTTTAATCCATACTGTTGCAAGAGTGGTGCCTACACACAGGTGCACCAGTGTGGAGAAGCTGTGTGCTTTTATTCCTAACTCAAAAGAGTCCCTCCCCCCTGAAGGAATCCAACCACTGCCATCCTGATCAGAGATCCCTCTAAACACCCCCTCCCAGCACAGCTGCACTGGGAGGCTCATAACAGTATCAGCCCTGCTATTGATAGTAACCACTACTCCCTGCACTTTCCCAAGCCTCGTCCTTGGGCAACCATTACCCTTTGTGCTCTCTTAAGCCTTGTTCTTGGCAGGGAGCCACAACCCCCTCTCACTGAACTCCTCCCTTCCCATGACCCTACAAAAGACCTCACAGGAGGTGCGACAGCTGCTGGCCTGGTCTCTAATGCCAGAGTGGTCTCTCTCAGGTTTGTTGCACAATAAACCTCTCCTATTGAGATCCTACCTCTCTTCATTATCCTTTTTGTTAAAACTTTTATCTTTTTGTTTGTTTGAGGCAGAGTCTCACTATGTATCTCAAACTGGTCTTGAACTTGCCATGTAGCCCAGGCTGGCCTTGAACTTGCAGGGATCCTCCTGCCTCAATCTCACAAGTGCTAGGATTACTGGCGTGTGCCACCATCCCTGGCTGTTTCTATCTTTTAAGCTATAGATGAATTCCTCATTTTAGGGAAAACTTTGGGTTTTGCTTTCTGAATTACTTCTTCTATTCCATTAGAATAGAAAAATAACCTATGCCTTCCAAATCTATTAACTTGTCTCTGTTTTAATATCATTGTGTTTTTAAGTCTGCCTTTCTTTACAAACATGCAAACATGTACTGAGGCAAGAGACTAGGGTGTGGCAACATGGGCAGGCAATTGGGCGAGACCTGTGGGTCATGGACATTTGTTAACCATTGGGCAGAGCAGCAGTTCCAGAGCCCTGCACCTGATACCAGATAATCCTGTCTTCAGTTCTGCTGACAGATCTTCACTAGGTCAAGCCAAGCCCCACACCTGATAACAACCTTCTGATATGAGCTCAGGCAGGTTTTTGATGGGTTGGCTTAGAGCTGACATCAGAGGGGGATATAAAAGATGGTAGCTAGTAAGCTTGCGGCTGATGTAAGCCTTTATCACCAGCCCACACTCACTTCTGCACCTCTTTGCCTTAAACATTAAACTTCTACTTTCACTGATCTGCCCAATTCTTTGAACAGGATGGTAAGAGCCCGGAAAGGACCAACTGGCCACTACAATACCTGTTAACACTAATACAAAAATAAAAATTTGAAGCAAAAAAAGTTTATGCTGTACTTCCTATTTCACCCTCCTCTCCCCACTATCCATTTTCATTTTTCCAAAGAGAAAAGGGGAAGATATGGACACTGCTAACTTTTCTACTTTCTTGTATCAAATATGTATATGTATGTGCCAATTTTTAGGATTTTGTAGACCTAACTGCATGAGATTTGATGAACAGGAAAGGATGGGAAGGCTTGACATCTACAAATCCCAAAACTTCAATTCATTTGTTAACTGTCACTTGTTGACATTTAAGATACTGAGATGCTACCCATTTTAAACTTTCTTAGACATTGTTAGAAACAGTCTTGATATAGGATGTATGATATAGGACCTCCAAATAATCCAAATAATATAAGGGAAATATTCCCAACCTGCTAGATGTTTGAACATGCAAATTTGTGTTCTCTAAAATCGAAGAATGAATTCTAGGAACAACAGAGGTTAAGAGTAGGAAAAATTTATTGAGAAGGATAGCTCTGTCTAAGAGAAACAGAAGAGGGACCAGAAAGCAAATTGACCCAGGGGCCCTGTTTCCCAGGGGTTTTTTTATAGAGCAAAGCCAGGAGGTGAGGACAAAACTATAGTCAACTAGTAAGATTATAAGTACAGTCGCTTAGGTAATATTGATCCAATTTTAAATCACAAGGTGGGTATGAGATGGGACAAAACTATGATCAGCCAATAAGATTACAACAAGTATAGTCGCTTAGGTAATATTGACTAAATGGAGATCAAATCGGGAAGCAAGTCGTAGCAAGTGTACAAGGACTGAAAACAAGGATTTTCCGGTAAGGTATAGTTAGGGACCTTTCCTGGAAGGGATAGGTTAAGGTCTTGGTCCCCCACCCAATTGACTGATATCTATTTAGGACATCAATCACTGTTATTTATTTCTAGGGGAAGTACATGGGTGTATTAGTATCTCTCTTTTAATAATGCTAACCAGCAAATGTGCCTTAATTGTTTTTCTGTGCTGAGGGCCCAGCTTTGTCTAACTGCCTTATAACAATTTCTAATTTAGCTAACTGCAATAAGGTGATGAAAGTGGGTTGAGAACATAACTTGGATTAAAGAGGGTTATAGACAAGGGTGAGTGGTTGACGGGCATGTTTTGCAATAATCCAGCTCTGATTTCAGACCAGGAAGTAGTCATGCATTTATTTCCCCATCACTCCTCCACAGCCAATAGATATCCTTATCAGTAGGTCTTTCTCCAGAATTTCATCTTCCCTCCTTAAAATCCTATCTTTCCTTCAAGATCCAGAAAAAATACCACCCGCGACCCTGACTGGGCCTGACTGGAAATCATGTGTTCCCTTTCGTTTTTTTCTTTTTCGGGGGGTGGTTTGAGACAGGTTCTAGATATGTAGCCCAGGCTGGCCTCAGCTCTCTCACCGTTCATCCTGCCTCCGCCTCCAGAGTGCTGGGAGTACAGGTGTGCACCACCACAGCCAGCACACGTTCCCTTTCATTTCTAACACAGGGCAGTCTTTTCTTCCTCTCTTTCCTCCATACAGCACTTGTCTTCCAAAAGCAGCACATTGCATTGGTGAAGAGCTATGACTTTGGACTCACCAATTTGCTGTCTCTGTGACCTTGGCACTGTCTCGATGTCTCAGTGGTCCTTACCAGTAAAATGGTGAGAAGTATGTGGCCTCTTTACGAGGAGTAAATCAGTGAAAGGATGTCAGGCACTTAGAATAGTGGCTGGTGTGCAGTAAGCGTTAAACAAACGCGAGCAATACTTTCGATTCACCCTGGCAGCGCAGAAGCCCCAGGCAGCAGCACCTGGCTGGGAGCGGTCCCTGGGAGGCTGCAGGTGGACGCTCACGATGCAGCTGCGGAGAAGCACCTGGCACTGGGCAGCCCCGCCCCCTGCCCCGCCCCCGCGAGTGTAGTTCCCGGCCGGCGCGCGGCCACGCTCACATGATTGAGCCAAGATGGCGTCGCCGGGCTCGCTGTGGCTCTTGGCTGCTGCTCTGCTGCCGTGGTCCTGCCACGCTCGGGCGCTGGGGCATCCCGATCTGCCCTTGCCGTTGCCGCTGGTGATCTGGCATGGGATGGGTGAGTGCGTGAGGAGAGATCCAAAGGCTTTGGCAAACTCTTTTCCAGCCTAGATTCCCATCTGCAAAATGAGCGTAAGGCGAGCACAGTCCTTTCACAGCATCCGCTGGCCCGATGTTAGGATTTTAGGAGCTGCTCTGCTTTGGGAGAAAGGGAAAGAGAGCTATCCGTTTGTAGAGAGCTGAGCAGGCTTCGGGGTTTCACGCTGCAGCAGGGTCAGGCAGGTGTGTGTCTGCTTGCACGACGCATCCATCCTTTTACTCCTTCACACCTCGACCAGGGATTTGCTAGGCGGCGGCATTTCATTTATATCTTTAATGCGTAGTGAGCACCTACTAGGCGCTGAGGATACAGCAGTGAACGAAACAAACTAAATTGTTTGCCCATTTAGAACTTACTTTCCAGTAGGAGAGACAGACCAAGAAATAAATAAAACATACATATCAAATGGTGATAATTCAATGGCGAAAAAACAGGGGTGAGAGGAAGGAGAAAGAACCTGGAAAGGTCAGGAAAGTACTTGCTGAGAAAGTGACATCGGAGCAAAAATCCGAAGTGGATAGAGAAGGTAACAATTGGATATGTAGTAGAAAGAATAGCAAATGCAAAAGCTCTGAGGCAGAACTATATACTGTAAGTTTAAGGAACAGCATTCAGATCAGTGTGATTGGATCTAAGTGAGCAAGGGGACAGAATAGAGGTTTAAATTAGAAAGATTGGGTGAAGATGTCGAGCCTAAGATTAATGTAGAGACTGGCTAGAGTGAGAGAGAAACTTTTTGGGCAAATGAGTGACATGATCTGACTTATGTTTTAAAATGATCACTCAGAGTGTTCTATTCAGAATAGATTATAGGAGAGCCAGGGACAGCTGTAGGGAGACAGGAAGTTATTGCAGTAATTTAAACAAAAGATGATAATGGCTTGGAGCTGTATAGGAGCAGTAGAGGTGTTGGGAAATGGTCAAAGTTTGGCTGTATTTTGAAAGTGGAACCTGTGGGATTTATAAGTGGCATGAGAGAAAGAAGCCAGAGATGACTCTACTGGTTTGGGTGTGGAGAACTAGAAGGGTAAAGTTGTCATTTTCCCAAGGTGGAGGAGCCTTAGTATGGGCCAGTTTGGGGAAGTGGTCGATCCAGAATCTACTTTTGGGATCCTTGTTACACAACTGAGAGATGTTATAGAGGCATCTGAGTTGGGAGCCGTGGGCATCTGGCTAGCATTTAAAGCTTTCTGAGGCTGGCAGGATCACCTGGGCAGTGAACCCTGGCAGGGTTCTGAGCTCTGAGGCATTTCAGCATTTGGAGGCAGAGGAGATTGAGAGAAATTAGCAAAAGAGACAGTGACAGAACACCATGTGGGGTTAAGGGAAATCAGGATAATGCAGTGTCAGGGAAGCCAAGTCAAGACAAAAAATGTTTCAGAAGAAAGAGAACTGCGCTTGGTGATGCACATGTGTAATCCCAGCTATCTTGGAGGCTTTGGCAGTAGGATGTAAATTCCAGGCCACCCTGGGGAACTTGGCGAGATGCTATCTCCAAATTAATTTTTTTTTTTTTAGACAGGGTCTCACTATGTAGTTCAGGCTGACCTTGAACTCACTATGTAACCCAGGCTGACCTCAAATTTGCAGTGATCCTCCTGCCTCAGCCTCCTGAGTGTTGGGATTCTGTAATCAGATGCACCACTACACCTGGCTTCAAAATAAAAGAGGGGGGATGGGAATGTAACTCAGTGATAGAGTGCTTGCCTACCATATGAAAGACCCTGGGATCCATATCCAGTATAGCAAAAGAAAAAAAAAAGGATGTGTTGCTCACTCATGTAAGATCAGGACTGAGAACTGATTATTGTATTTAGCTATATGAAGATCCTTAAAGATCTTGACAAAAGCAGTTTTGGGGGAGTGACGAGAATGAGAGCTGTATTGAAATGGGTTTAAAAAAAAAAAACATTCAGGGCCGGGGATTTAGCTCAGTGGTTCCACTGCTTGCCTCACAAGTGCAAGGACCCGAGTTTGATCCCTGGTACCAAAAGAAAAGAAAAAACATTCAAGCAGGGTCTGATGCTGTATGCCTGTAATCCCAGCACTTGGGAGACAGAGGCAGGAGGATTGCTGCAAGTTCAAGGCCAACCTGAGCTACATAATGAGTTCAAGATCAGCCTTAATTACATAGTGAAAACTTGTCTCAAAAAAAAAAAAAAGCAATAGAGAGAGAGAGACATGATCCCAGCCTATTTCCCCACTAGCGGTCAGTTTGTCCCTGGTTCTTAGTTCTACTTTCTTGACAAGAAAAGGAACAAGCCTGGGACTAGGATGAGTCAAGGAGGCACCTAGAATGCAAAGTAAAGAGGAAATTGCTCCTAAGTTTGTGACATTCTGGAGCAGCACTTGCACAAACCTGTTTTGTTTCCCTAATTCTGGCTCTGAAGAGAATTCTTGGAGTCTCTTTCCCCAAGTGTCCCTTAAGGTAAAGGAGGGGAATTTATACCAATGCTTACTTTTTCTTTTTAAATTTGGTCCCCTGAGCTGGGTGTGGTGGCACATGCCTGTAATCCCAGTTCTCAGGAGGCTGAGGCAGGAGGATCGCCATGAGTTTGAGGCCAGCCTGGGGTATGTGGTGAGTTCAGGGCCAGCCTGAACTACAAAAGTGAGACCCTGTCTCACCCCCCTAATAAAAAAAAAAATGAATAAATAAATTTGGTCCCCCACCGTGCATGGTGGTGCATGCCTGTAATCTCAGCACTGGGGAGACCGAGGCAGAAGGATCCCTGTGAGGATCCCTGGGACTACATAGTGAGGCCTTGTCTTAACACCCTCCTGAAAAAATGTTGGTGCTTCAGTTATAATTTGGGGGCTTTTTAGGGGGGTACTAGGGATTGAACCCAGGGTCTTCACAGTGATCAGCCCTTTTTATTTTGAGACAGGATATCATTAATTTGCTAAATTGTCCAGACTGGGCTTAAATTTGTGATCCACCTGTCTTAGCCTCCCAGAGTGCTAGGATTATAGGTTTATGCTACCAGGCCTGGCTTCTTATGAGCTTTTGAAGTTTGTTATTATTTGATACACCAAGCAGAAAGTGTTTTTTATCTTTTTTTAAAATTGTGTTTGAATTCGTTTTGGAGTGCACAATTCAGTGGCACTGAGTATATTCACAATGTTGTGCAACCACCACTTCCCTCTCATTTCAAAATTTCTCAACACCCCAGAAAAAAATCCATATACATTAAATAATTATTTCATTCCATCTCCTACCACTTCCCAATTACTTGTAGCCTACTTTTTATCTATGGAGTTGCCTAATCTGGATATGCATCTTATAAAAGGTATCACATAATAGATGACCTTTTGCTTGGGCTTATTTCTCTTGACATAATGTTTTCATGGTTCATCCAAGTTTTTGTTTTTCAGTTTAATGTGTTTTTGTAGCAGCATATTGTTGGATCTTGCTTCTTGATCCATTCTGTCAGTCTGTTTCTTTTGACTGGTGAATTGAGACCACTTACATTGATGGTTATAACTGATATGTATTGACTTATCCTTGCATGTTATTTTCTTGTTGTTGGTCCCTTTTTTCTCCCTCTGTTTAATCATTTCCCTTGCCTAGTGGATCCATTCTGTTGGGGTTCATGGAGTTGTAGTCCTTGTTATCTGTCTAGAATGTCCTTCAGAACATTTTGGAGTGCTGGTTTGGTGTTTATGAATTTCCTAAGGTGTTCTTTGTCATGGAAGTATTTTATTTCTCCATCAATTTTGAAAGATAATTTTTTTTTTTTTGGTACCGGGGATCAAATTCAGGACCTTGTGCTTGCAAGGCAGGCGCCGGAACCACTGAGCTAAATCCCCAGCCCTGAAAGATAATTTTGAGACATGAATCGGGGTTGGAGGTTGTTTTCTTTTAAGGCTTGAAGTACTTCACTCCAAGCTCTCTTTTACTTGAGGGTTTGTGTTGAGAAGTCTGCTGTGATTCTTATGGGCTTTCCTTTATGGGTGATTTGTTTCTCTAACAGCTTTTAATATTCTGTTCTTGTGTTGAATTTCTGAAATCTTGACTATTATGTGCCTTGGTGTAGTTTTTTTTATCATGGCTAATTGAAGTTCTATATGCCTCACTTATCTGTATGTCAAATTTTTTTTCCATGCTTGGAAAGTTTTCTGCCATTACTTCTGGAATAGGATTTTTATGTAGTTTGCCCTATCTCCTGCTTTTTCATTGACTCCAGTCAATCTTATGTTATTCATGTTTGCATCATCTAGCAACTGTTGGATTAATTTTTCATAGCCCCTTGCTATTTTTAAGAGATCTTTCTCTTTTTTAAAAATAAATTTTATTTTACCCCATTCCTTCTTCAAGTCTCCTCCCCTCCCTATATACAAAAGCTTTGTTTCCATTTAAGAAATCTTTATTTTCACGATTGCTAACTGCAATCCTCTCTTCTATCTCTGATATTCCTTCCTCATATTGGCTCATTCTGCTGCCTATACTTTCAATGGAATTTTTAATTTCCTGGATATCTGTTTGAATCTGTTTCATGGATTCCATTTCTTTCCTATGCTGGGCTTTCATGGTTTCTGTCATTTTCCTGAGCTGCTCTATTTTTTTAATCTGTATCTGCTCTAGAGTCACTAACCATGTCTTTCAATATGGTCACCATCTCTGTAGTTATTTGAGAAATTATTTATGATTTGATTTTTCTAGAGCCTCTTTCATCTGCTTGGTTACTTCCACTATTACCACTTCAGAGAGTCCAGGTGGGTGGGTTTCAAATTGTTCCACCTCATTTCCCCCTGGGTTTGCCTTTGTTGAGTCTGGGGTTGCATATTGCTTAAGTGTCTTCTCATTTTCTGTTTTCTAAAGTTTAATTCCTGGGCTGATGATTGTAAATTGCTTATGGCAGGAAGCTTAATCTAGTATTTAGAATGCTTAGAAATGACTACTTCTCAAAGATGTCTTCCAGGTATATCTGGCTTTTGCATTTTGAGTCTGTTGCAAGATCCTACCTCTTCAATTTATTGGGGATGAGAAGTTGCGGCCTGTTTGGCCTAACCCCTTTTTCTTTGCCACTGGCCGATAGTATTGTTTATGACCCTTAGGTAGTCTCAGTCCTGGCTCACCAGGAGGAACAACTGATTAGAACAACTATGTCACCTTGGCTAAAGTAGTACAATCAGTAGCAACAATAGTATCAAACACAGCTTAGAGAAGGAAAAACTATTGATTTGCTACCTTTAGCCGATTGAACTAGATTTGTAGTTATATAACAAAACCTAAAACAAACCAGAAAAATGTATGCAGTAAATATCCCCTCAATATTACAATTTTACCCTCAGGGGAGAAAATTTAAAAGGGTTTGGGAGGAGGAATAGAGAAATAGAAGAAGAGGAAGAGATTAGAAGCAAGGCTGGGGCCGGGGATTTAGCTCAGTGGTTTCGCAGCCTGCTGCGCATTCACAAGGACCTGAGTTTGATCCCCTGTACCAAAAAAAAAAAAAAGCAAGACTGGAGAACAAAGGAACATTACACAAACTTTGGGAAACTGGTGAAGAAGAGGAGAGAGAGAAGGAAGAAAAATAAAAACAAGAACAGAACAACAACAAGAAAAACTAGAAACAATGTTCACACATAAAAACAAGAACAGTCAAGATAAAGCAAAAGAAAAAAAAGTCCACTTCCAGGCACTGTTACTGGTAGACAAAGTGGGCAGACAAAGTCCAGATCCATGCTGATTAATCCCAACAAGCCAGACTTATGGCTGTGTAGTGGATAATCCTAGTAAACCTGCACCTTTAGTTCTGAAGCTCAGGCTGGTTTTTGGCTGTGAGGCTGGAGCTTGTTTTCTTCAGCCTCCACCACCCACTGTGCTTCGACTTGAATTCTTACCCTGATGGAGTCAGCCTACAGCTGCTCTGAGTTCTGAGCAAGCTACCAGCCAATTGCCCTCTCCTGGGGAATGTCTGAACCCAAATAATTCACCAGCCACTGCAGTCTGCTGTGCCTACTGCTCCATTCCACTTGTGCTTTTTTCCATGGAGGCCTCTGGAGTTGCCAGCAGTCACTGTATGTCTGCAGGTTCAGGCCGCCTTTCCCACACAGTGAGTCAGGGCTCAGGGAGAGAAAATCACTTGCCATCTCCTTCTTTGTTGAAGTTTCTCTCTTTGCTTAAATTCTAGCTTCAGATCCTTGGTAGATCCTGGGGAGCCACTTCCCTCCTCTTTCTCACATTGCTCTATTCCAGTGTCTGGATACCAGATCTCAGAGAGGCTGTTTCCTTGCTGTTCACCACTCTGCTGTCTTCCGAGAAGTCCTGTTTTTGTTTTTTGAACCAGGGTGTCACAATATAGTTTATTTATTTATTTATCTCACAATATAGTTTAGACTGGCTATGTTAATTACTTTTCTCTTGTTGCTGGGACAAAATACCTAACACCCAATGTTAAAGGGGGGAAGGTTTATTTGGGTTACAATTTGTCCATAATTGGCTGAATACAAGGCAGAGTGGCACATGGCAGATGGGTAACAGTTCATGGCAGAAAGAAAGTAGCAAAGCAAGTGAGGGACCTTAACACTGTCTTTATCACTTAACATATGTCACTTCTATCTTATTCAGAGTACTTAGTGTGGGTAGCATTCACATCTTTAATTCTAGTATCCTTGGGCCTAGCATAGCACCATGAATCAATCACATACTCTAGATCCAGCCATCTCTGTAAAAGCCCCAACTAAAACCTCATGAGGCTTTGGGGGAAAATCTAAATACAAGACATAACACTGGTCTTGAACTCACTATGTAGCCCAGGTAGTCCTTGAACTTTTGTCGATCCTTTTGCCTCAGTCTCCCAAGTGCTGGCATTTTAGGTGGGAGCTACCACACCCAGCATGCCATACTCTGTATATTCTGGATGATAAACTCAGATACATGTTTTGCAAATGTCTTCTCCTTTTCTGTATGTTGTCTTTTCACATTCTTGATAATGCCCTTTAAGATACAAAAATTTTAAAGAATAATGTTATTTTGATTAATGAGTTTCCTTTAATGTTTTTGTTGGCTAGGAGACAGTTGTTGTAATCCCCTGAGCATGGGTGCTATTAAAAAAATGGTGGAGAAGAAAATACCTGGAATTTATGTCTTGTCTTTAGAGATTGGGAAGAACATCAAAGAGGTAAGCACTTTGCAGCTCTGTTCACTTGAAGGCTTGCTTGCTAGTTTCATAGAATGCACTATCAGAATGCTTCAGCTTGCATTTCTGGCAGCATTGAGTCAATGATACTTTCCCTTCCTTCCCATGCATGAGGGTGTCAGCCTAAGTGGGTTCACTTCTAGAGAAGATGCCAGGGGTTTCTTTCAGTCCCATCTTTCACTTCTCTGTGGCTCCTTTTTTAGGACATGGAGAACAGCTTCTTCTTGAATGTCAATTCCCAAGTAAGGACAGTGTGTCAGATTCTTGCTAACGATCCTAAATTGCAGCAAGGCTACAATGCTATGGGATTCTCCCAGGGAGGCCAATTTCTGTAAGTATCAGAGTTAATCCACTACCTTCTCCCTGTCTCATTTTTTTGGTGGTACTGGGAATTGAACACAGGGCTCCACGCATACGAGGCAGGCATTCTATCACTGAGCTATGTCCCTCTCCTGAATCATCCAGGCTAACCTGAAACTTGTGATCCTCCTTTTTCAGCCACCCAAGTAGCTGAGATTACAAGCATATGCCACTATGCCCATCCAGTACTCTCAACTCTTGGGATCTTCCCCTGACTTGAAAAGGAAACTATTCTAAAATATCCCTGTGTAAGAAGCTTTATGGAGCTCAATTTATTTTCTGTGAAAAAAATGAAGTTTGGGTTTGACCACATCAGAGGAAAATCCCAGAACTTTCTCTATGGCTTTGGCGAACTACAGTGTATTACATAGTTTAATCTGTGGAGCTGACTTTCCATAAGGCATTTCTGCCTGAGAGTCAGCTGATAAACCTGTTTTATTTCCCTAGGAGAGCAGTGGTTCAAAGATGCCCATCACCTCCCATGATTAATCTGATCACATTTGGGGCACAACATCAAGGTAACTTTGACCCCTGTATCTCCTCTATCCCTGTGCCAATCCACACGGCCCTTTTGACTTTTAACAGTGTAGCAGCTCTGTTTGCACATAGGTCAGCCATCCTTGTAAATCCCAGCATCAATGGGGACACAGGAAAGACAAAGCATCCCAGAGCTCTAACAGCAGGGGAATCATTAGTTGCCATCTCCTCCCCAGTTTAATCAGTGGGATTTCGTGGAGGTCAGCTTTGCGCGTTGGCAGCCACCATAGCCAGTGAGGTTTAGCTGAAGCACAATCAATGCTAGTTGAAAGATTTCATGGAGGAGAGATGGTTGCAACCACATGGCAAGTGGCAGTAAAGGACTTAGGAAAATGGAATGGCTTTTCCTGTTTTCTGACATTGGTGCTGTGGTATTGAATTTAGGCATAGGCAAAAAAATTGCGTGTAAAATTTTTTTGTCTGTAAATTTAACAGAGAAAAGTAGCAGGTTTTCTGTTTAGACAGAATCACATTTTTTAGGCCTGAAGATGTGTCCTTGGGCTAGAATTTTCTCTCTCTCATCATGATTATAACTGTTAGCAGGTGTAGTGTGGGAGCAGAATTCTCTGAATTGTCAGGAAACCTGGATTCATCCAGTTAACTATCACTCGTGGGCAAGGCAGTTTATCTTAGATCCCTTTCACAGGTGGGAGAGACTAAAATATGGCCCTGCTCATCTTGTGGAAATTTTTCAGATGAAGTGGAAATAATAGGAAAATACTTACAAAAATTTAGTACAAGTATTATGAAATGTGGGTTGGTAAAAACAATTTATCATTCATTCAACAAAGATTTGTCAAAGGACAGACTAGTGGTTGTAATTGTTTTCTTTTCTTTTCTTTCCTTTTGAGATCTTGAACTCATCATGTAGCCCAGGCTTGCCTTCAGCTCCTGCTTTAGCCTACCCTACTGAATCCTAAGATTATAGGCATGCATCGCCACAGCTGTCTACTAAACCATTTTATGTAAGGGACTTGCATACCCATGGATTTTGATGTCTTTTGGGAGTTCTAGAACCAGTCCCTCTTGGATATCAAGGGATGACTGAATATCCTTGGCATTAGCTTGGTACTCCAAAAATGTTTCTTGCTGAGGATGAGTATTACTGGAAGGAAGAAAGGGCAGGAAGTGGAGACTGCTTGGAATAGGTTAGCCATCTATGATGTCCCTAAGCCAAGGCCCACGAGGGGAAGTGCAGCCACGTGCTGTAGTACAGAATCAGCACACAGCCTGGAGGCAGCAGGGCAAAGCTGTAGGACAAAAAGTGCGGGACTACCAGGAGGAAGCGGGTTACACTGTTAAATCTTGGCATTTCAGGAAGAACTGAAGGAGATTAAAGTCTTGCTCTTGCCCCATTTCATTTTTCATTGTACCTTGAACCCAATAGGTACTTGGTGTATGATTATTGATGCATGGCTATTTATCTTTTCCCAGGTGTCTTTGGATTCCCTCGATGCCCAGGGGAGAGCTCTCACATCTGTGACTTCATCCGAAAAATACTGAATGCTGCAGCTTACTCCAAAGTTGTTCAGGAACGGTGTGTATGTTAGCTGCAAGGACACAAACCGCCACTGTGTGAAAACAGCATGCTCAGGTTCATGCTAGCAGTGATTCTAGGAGTAACTGCTAATAATACTCAAATAGCATATTTTTTATTGTTATATCTGCATTATCTGCTCAGGTTTAAAAGTGTTAAGTGTCTAAACCTACAAGTGCTCTACACTTTTATTCTAAATCTTGCTTATGTGCCTCAGAAAAATCTATCCTTCTCTTTCTTTGGATTTCTTTGTTTTGTGGACTAAAATACAACCCTTGGTAACCAGTATTATGTTGTTAAATAAGCAGTCAGTGGGGGTGAGAAATAACACCTAAATACTGATTACAATTGGTAGATTTAATACAAGTATCTAAATCTAAACCTAAAAGTGCTCTAATAATAATCTTAATTTTTTAAGAAAAAGTAAAACATTATTTTCCTATGTAGCAAGAATGTAATTATAACAAATTTCCACACCTTAAAAAAAATTTTTTTTTGTGATGCTTGGGATTGAATTCAGGATCTTGTGCATGGCAGGCAAGTGCTCTACCACTGAGCTACACCCCTAGCCCTTCTATTGTTTAAATTTTATTTTGAGATAGTGTCTTGCTGAGTTGTCCAGGCTGGCCTCACATTACCATTCTTTCGCCTCAACCTCCCAAGTAACTGGGTTTATAGGCATGTGCCAGTGTGACTAGCCCCCATTCTTAAAAAAAGAAAAAAAAGCCTTTAGAAAGTACTAAGCCCAAGAAATTAGTATTTGGAGGACAGATTCTTCTTGTCAGCAGATAGGGTCAGCCAGCCACTCATACATCACTGTCCCTGACTTCTCAAATATGATCAGGTATTTAAAAATACACAGAATCACTTTTGGAGTATATTCTTGTTCACTTGTTTCTAAACTTAATTAAACATCAGAACTGCTAGAAATTTACTAAAGATAGGTTCCCGAGAAATTCTAATTTAGTGTTCCTAGTTGGATCTGCAATATTCTATGTGATAGCTGGGGCTTAGGATCAACTAATACGGTTTTGGTATCTATCCTGGGGGTTTTCTAAGTGTACTATTCTTGTCAAATAACAACTCTCTAATCCAGCTTCCAAAGAACAACTTTTATTAGAAACCGTTTTCTCAGGTACAGCCTTGTGACCAACCAGTAAACTTGCTTTTTTTCTTTCCTACCTGTTGGCTACACCAGACACAAAGCTGTCTTGAGCCAAAAGTGTTATCTGATGGTCAGTTCAGGAAATTTTTTATCTCCACCTTTTTTCCCCATGACAACCCAAACCACCCCAAGCTTTATTTAGCCTTCCCCTGGTTGTCTGGCTTAGTTGTTTTGTCCTATCTGTTCTCATTTATGTGTATGGCCTCTTCAAACTTCATTCTTTCTTTTTTCTAATTCCTGCCTTCTCTTGAGATTTGTTTTGTGGACTAAAATACAACCCTTCGTAACCAGAATTATGTTAAATGATGATAAATGACTGGCCAGTAGGGGTGAGAAGTGACACCTAAATACTGGTTAAAAGGGGTAGATTGATGTGTTCATCTTCACTTCCTCCTTAAACTTTAATAAAGTAATAGAAAAGAATTTTAAAAGGGCCGGCAATTTAGCTCAGTGGCACCACGCCGGCCTCGAAAGCACAAGGTCCTGAGTTCAATCCCCGGTACAAAAAAAAAAAAAAAAAAAAACGTGTGGGGGATAAACCCACTAAGGCAAAAGAACAGGAGAGGAGTTAAGATATAAAAGATGTCTGCACAGTTTTGAAAGAGAGAAAATAAAAGAAAGTATGAAGATTGTTTTAGCAGAACAGAGGAAGTTGAAGCCTTCACATCTGTAGAGGGCTACACTGCAAGAAGGGGGCAGATTCACCTTCTCCAGCTCCAGAAAGGCTCAGGAATTAGAGCTATTAAGATGCTTTGGAAGGCCTAAATAGTAGAACTGAAAGCAAGACTTTGGTTAGACTCCCCAGTTACCTATGTGCATACTCAAATGATCACTTTTCCTCCACTCTGACCAGAGAAGTAAAACTGATTTTATGGAGCAATTTGCTTAGAGAAGGCCCAGACTTAGTGATAACAAGGAAGTGTGGTGAGAAAACTATTGCCCTGAAAACCCATTACCTGCACTCCTGCTCAGCCTCCAGAATGATAGCAGCCAGGATTATTCCCTGCTAGGCTGAGTTCAGTGGACTCCCGTGTGGAAAAACTAACTAGAGAAAAGACTTTGAGATTGAGTCTTTGGAGTCCTCCAGCAAGTCTGGACCCCTCCTGATTACCATATATCAAAGCCACCAGTACGTAAGCTCTGGTCTGAGCTCTGCTATTGCATGAAGAGCTTCCAGTCAGCCCGTGCCTTGTTTAAATGTGAATGTTGAGTCACAGACCCCCAGTCAGACATCTGAGGAAAGCTTCTAACATGAGAGATTGAAATGAGCAGTTAGTAAAAAGGAACTTGGAAAAAACAGATGGCAATTAAAGAAGCAGAAAAAAACTGGAGAAAAAAAAAAGCCCTCCAGATCTTTAGGTTCTACCTCTATGGATTCACACAATCTCTAGTAAAAATATTTTTAAAAAATATATCTGTAGGAACCTGTAAAAACTAGCTAGAAGGCAAGGTACAGATCTTTGTAATCTGAAGGAAGATAATTTCCAACCTACAATTGTGCATATGTAACCCCAAGAAGAAATCAAGTGTGGGAGAAAATAAAGATACTATATTTTCAGACATGCAAAAAGATGGCAAAATGACTTTCCGTGCCCTCTTTCTAGGGTTTTTTTTTTTGTATCAGGGATTGAACTCAGAACCTTGCGCTTGCAAGGCAGGCACAGTGCCACTGAGCTAAATCCCCAGCCCTTTCTAGAGTTTTTTGTGGCGGCGGGGGGGGGGGAGGGTGTTGTGTTTTTTTTGTTTTTGAGAGCCTCAGTTCTACTACCATCTATCTATGTGGCCCTGGGCATCTTTGAGCCTCATTTTCTTACATCTTAGTAATATATTTTCCTGTGGGCCTGTTGTGAGGATTAAACAAATTGAGTGTAAAGCATTTAGTGTAGTGCTCAGTTCATATGAAGTCAGTGGATTTTTGTTATCACTGCAGGTGGTATGTTCAGAATATTTATTCAACTTCAGTTTTTGGTCCTTTATTATTCTCTTTTAGTTGCACTTTTCAAATAGTTAATAATTTCATCAAATATAGGGTTATTGCTATTTGTCAGACCCTATTGTAGGTTTCATGGATACCATGAAGAAGACAGTAGCATACTAAAGAGGAAAGGAGTAAACAGGCACACTAGAGAACCTCTAACTGGGTAAAGCTGACATGAGAATAAAGGATGCAGCCATGGGAATATGGTGGAGAACCTCCCTGGGACAGGATAGTCTTTGAAGAAGAGATCTTTAATCTGGGATGTGAAGGAAGAGATAAAAGGAGCATAGGAGGAGCTAAAAAAGAATCATCAGCCAAATTACTAGCTGGCGCAAAGGCCCTGAGGCTGGGACAAGTTTGGCTTGTTCTAGCACAGGGTGAAAAGAGATAGTGATAGATGGGTAGAGTTGGACAGAAAAGCAAGAGCTACATTGTGCAAGGATTTATAGACCTGATAATGAGTGGGATTTGATTCCGAACAGCATGGAGACCTATTGGGAGACTGCAGGTGCAAAAATGGCATGGCCTGGTAGATGTTTTTGCAGTGGGCCAGGGACAGAGAGCAGTGGTTTGGACAGTAGGATAGATACTGAGGTGGAAAGGAGAGCAATGACTTGAAATCTGTTTCTCGATCTTGTACCTGAATTAGACTTAAGAGCCGGGTTGATGCTCACCACTTAGCACACAGTTTCCATGGGAAGTGCATTCTGAGTTCTCAACAGCTGTGCACAGATGAACTTTTAGGCCACCTAATTTTATAGAGTGGTTTTTCTTTTTATTTTTTTTTTGGTTTTTCTTTTTAAAAATGCATTTGAGCCAAGTGTGGTGGGGACACACCTGTAATCCTAGCACTTGGAAGGCTAGGGCAGGAGAATCACCTTGAGTTCAAGGCCAGCCGAGGCTATCTAGTGAATTTATTCAAGGCCAGCCTGGACTACATAGTGAGACCCTGTCTCCCAAAAAAAAAAAAAATGTGTTTGAGGCCACTGTGTTCTGTCTTGCATGTTGGCCCACCTTCACACTGTAAGGTGTACTTCTTTTCCTATTTTTTCTTGGCCCAAACTCACTTTGAAGAGCCTCTTTCTTTTCCTACTTTTCATAAAATTTTGCTACCATTAAATCAATAAAACAAAATAAAATGAAATGCGTTTGAACAGGAAAAATCTCATCTTAATAGATGGCTGGTGTGAGACTTAAAGAGACAAATAGTCCAAGTCAGATTGTGAGAAGGGGATGGTGAGAGTTTAAAACAACAAAAAGAGATAATTTTCTCTCTGAAATGTCGTATCAGGTTGCTCTGTATCTTAGCGAGGATTCTGATTACCAGAAAGAATCCAAAGCAAGCCAAAGTAAATATAAAAAGGAATTCATAGTGTTTTGATTGCCAAAACACTATGCCTCCAGAGTGCCTGAAATCAAGAAATAAGTCACCTAGAACCAGGGTGTCTCTTTCCAACAGTCCCTGTTGCTTCTCTCTGTGTCACTGCGTCTCTTTCCCCTCTGTGCAGAGCAACTTCTGCTCCCCGCTAGGTGAAAGGTGGCTGTGCACAGCATCCAAGTGTTTAATTTTCAAGCTAGGTCACGTCCCTACTCTCATTTGCTGTGACCAGTGATGATAAGGGGGGACTGTGTACCAACCATACCCACCCTGTGACCGGAAGGGAGGCAGGAAGAGCACAGTTCCCAGACATGTAGGGATTGTGGCAGAGGGTCTAAAATGTCTTCTGCACTCTTCAGAAAACTTAATTTTAGCAACATAGATGTCACGTCCTAGTAGGCTCAGTGCCTTGTGAGGATGTTTTCTAGTACAAGCCCTTGGCTGGGGATGGCAGGGCCGTAAAGGCTGGCATGAGCAGA